CCGCGTGCACACAGACGGGCCCGGCTCGCGCCCGGCGAGGATGGGACCGGGAGCCAGCCCGCACAAGGGTCAGCCTGCTGTCCCCTCTGCACGTCCTACAGAATCCACCGGCTAATGCATGTTGAGCCATCCCCTTTCAGCTGCTGTGCAGGGTTTGCTGAGAAGCAGGTAGGACTGGGGCATGGCTCTGGCATGGAGTGAGACCCAACCACATCTCCCCCATGCTGAGGAGTCCCTACCCCCCCACCACACTCCAACCCCTTGTTCTTGCCCCTACTGCACTCTGGCTATGGGCATGGGAGAAGCTGGGGCAGGGGGGAGCAGTGTGGAGACAGCATAGTGAGCCAGGTAGTAGCACCAGGTCATGAGACAGGCTTTTTTTGCCATGAGGATGACTTGCTGCTGCTGCTGGGGGGAACTTGGCAGCCCCAGAGGGGGAGTCTTGGGTTGGCCCAACTTTGCCAGTCATGCTGCAGGCACATTATAGAAGTCAGGGCAGGAACGTGCTGTGCTTGCCCACTGCATGGGGTGCTCCTCCCTGGCACTACCAGCACTGGGCTCTCATAGGACCGGGTGCTCTAGGGGCTGCATGCCATCCCAGAGCCCCTGCAGGCAAGGTGGGGAGGGAGCTCCTACACACAGTGCAGCAAGAGAGCCACGGCACTCACGTTTTCTCCAGCCAGGAGGAGCATCAGGATGTCATGGTGCTGCTGCTGTGTCTGCAGGGAGAGGAGACCAGGGGTGTGTGAAAAGGGGAGGGGCTGAGGCTGTCCCCCACCTTGAGGGCCTCTGTGGGCAGGTTTGGGCTCAGGGATCCAGGGGTACTGAGGGAGCCTGGCTGGGTGTTGACTTACAGGCAGGCTGATCTGGAAGGTGGCAGGCATCCTCCGCAGGATGGCAGGGTCCACATCCTGCGGTCTGTTGCTGGCTCCAAGCACCATCACCTTCAACACAAGCATGTGGGTGGGTGAGAGCGGGGATCCGGACCCAGGGGTGCAGAAGGGAGTGAGGGAGCTAGGAATCACAGGGCTGCAACTCCCCCCAGCGGTGGCTCTCTGTCAGAGCACATCCTCCCACCCTGCCTCCCGTTGGTACCTGGCAGTCGGAGCTGGTCTCCAGCCCATCCCAGAGGTTCATGAACTGGGCCTTGATCATGGCCGTGGCTTCATGGTCAATACTAGAGCAGCTCCGCAGGAAGGCATCTGCCAAGGACAGGACAAGACCCAAGCCTCACCCCAGCACCCTGCCCCTGCCTCTCCTCCACACCACTGCAGAGACTGGATGCTGGCACGAGGGGCCAGTGAGCCAGGGCTTGCTCCCAGGTGAGTGGTAGCCCCTCTCTATGCTTTTGTGTGCTGGCAGAATGAGGGCAAGGGACTGCTGATCAGCATTAGACCCTATGGGGGCAGGCACACCTTGCTTTCAGGTCTAAAGCTCAGAGGCAGCACTGCCCAATGGTCTGAGGAATCCCACCAGTCTCCCTGCACAGAGGCCTAGCCTTGGTGGGGCAGGAAACAGGACCTTTGGGTGCCAATCCTAGCAAGTCCCTGGCTCACTGCAGCCTAAGGTGGGGCCCTGGCACCCCTGCTCCACTCACTGATCTTGTCGATGAAGATGATGCAGGGCTGGATCTTGGCCGCCAGCGTGAAGACAGCGTCGGTGAGCTTCTGTGACTCCCCATACCACTTGTCAGCCAGAGTGGATGCCTGCAGGTTCAGGAACTAGCAGCCTGAAGCCCATGCCATTGCCTTGGCCAGCAGGGTCTTCCCGCAGCCGCAGGGGCCATAAAGCAGGACCCCTGCAGTGGGAGATGCCCTCAGCAGCTGCTTTTTCCCAGCCTAGTGAGCTCCTCTCTCCCAGGCTGTGACCCCCAAGGGGCAGCTCAGGAAATCAGGTCCCGTGTGTCTGTGCCAGACCCAAAACAGTGCCTCTGTTTAATAGAGTCCTTCATTTGCTCCAGGTGATCAGGCCCCATTGCTAGTTCAAGCGCTGTGCTGCTAGTCTTGCCCGTGCCATGGTCGAGCTGGCATCCTGCAGGGAAGGTTGCCAGCCTGAGTGAGCATAAGGCTTCAGGGGCTAGTGACTATCTCCATCATTTGCTCTCCAGCTGGCTCAGTCTTGCTCTGAGGCTGGGCAGGGGAGGGGGTTCTGTGCAGGGAACAGTTGGATCTTTGCTGATCATGTTTCCACCAGTTGTGGATGGGGGTGCTGGCAGCGGGCATTGTTCTGAGTAGGATTAAAACCAAGTTCCTGTCTGTGCCTGGTGTTCCCCTTGCCCACCCTCCCTGCAAAGCTATACCTCTGGGGGGCTGGAAGAGCCTGGAGCGGTGGAAGAGGTGCCTCTTCTGGAAAGGCAAGATCACTGTGTTCTGGAGCTCAGTGACCACGTCGTCGAGTCCGGCAATGTCCTTCCAGGTAATCTGGGGGGAGCCCTGGAGTCAGGCAGGGAAGAAAGGCCCCTTCCCCAGTGGAAGGGCAGGCAAAGCACGAGGCTCCAGGCTCAGGGGACGGCTGACAGCCTGGGCTGGGCTGGTTCTGCCCTCAGCCCCTGCTGGTAACCAGTCTTCTGGACTATAGCAGCTTCATACTCCAACAGGGCCTGACTGGCTCTTCACCTATTGCAGGATGTCCCTGCTGGACAGGGGTGGGTCACTTGGATGAGATCCCAAGATCACTGGGTCAGACTGAACCTTGGCCTTTTCCCTGAGAAGGGAAGTCTGTCCTCTGAGTGGATGCTATGCAGCTCTGGGGTTGTTCAGCGCCCTGCCCTGCAGCTGCCAGCTCTTAGGGGGCAGAGAGATGCTAAAGCCAGGGCTCACTTGCAGTAGGATCACAGGTAAGGCCCCCTCAGGTTCCTGATGAGCATTTTCCAGCCCATACAGTGAGGGATTCAGCCTAGACTCAAGTGGCCCTGCTGGAGAAATGAAACAAGCCCCATTTTGTGTCTCACCTTGATGTCTCTGAGGTCCACGCACTGCGATGCTCGTCTCATGTTCTGTCAGCTTGACCCTGTTCACTCCAATCTGCTTCATCAGCCGCTCAGCCTGCCAACACAGCCACGTGACAGGCTCCAGCCAGGCATCCCAGAGCATTAGCATCAGCCTTGCCATAGAAATAGGCTGGGCTTCTCAAGCCTCTGCCATCCCAGTGATACCTGCTGTCCCTCAGCTGGCTTCTGCTAAGTATAGCCTGGGCCATCTGCAACTGCACACCAGGAGATGGAGGAGACATGCTCTGACCCAGCCTCCAAGTGAGCCAACTACCCTGAGAGAGGACTGCACCAGAGGTGGCAAACATTGAACACAACCAGCAGGTAGGAGCCCAAGGGCAGCTCTTATTCAGAAAGGCAAATGGAAACAAAACCATGGGACTCGTATAAGGTGGCTCAAAATATTTAATTAAGTGATTTTTGCTTAAAATATCTGATTTTTCCAATTCAAATGGTAATTGAAATTTTAATGTGTTTTTAAATAAATCCAGTGAAAATGTAAAATTCTGCCAACCTGAATTACAGCTCAGACTTAGGAGGTGCTACTAAAATGAGGTAATTTACATACAAAAGAAGATTCAAGCAGCAGATTTGCTGCCAGAGCTTGAAAAAATAATAAAGCACATGTAATAATTGAGCATTGAAACGACTGGGTGTTACATTCTAGATCTGCTCAGATAGTAATGGGTAAATGTAGCATATCCCCCAGATTCACAAAAAGAACTAACTGCTTTAGAAGAAAACCTGTAGTTGGGGGGATAACCCATGTGCTCTAATGGTTACTAGCTGATGCCAATGGAAATAGCGAAATGGGCAAACACACAAGGAGACTAAAAGGAATGATCTAGATCAAGGCTCCCTGCTTGCTGGTTTTAAACCTATTTAACCCTGGTTTTAAATGCACACTGACCTCAGACAATCCAAGAGGTCCCTGACCTGCGTGTATCTGAGGCCCCTACTAAGTGTCCCTCCTTCACCAGCTCCCTACTGCCATCCATGTGTTCCCAGAGGCTCCATACCTTTTTCTTCAAGTGTATCCTCTGTTTTCGAGTGGGGTCCAAGGCATCTGACACCCACTTGATGCTGTAGTACGTAGCCACCCCAAAAATTGTCAGGTGGAAGAGCAGACCCAGCACCTCATTCCGTGTCAGAGGCCGGGTCAGGAGGTCTTTGGAGATCTCTCCCAGGAGCATCTCTAGGCACTGCTGGCTTCAAGGCTGGAAGCTGCACCAGTCACAAAAAGCAAAGGGAAGGACTGGTGAGTCTGTATGAGAGGGCTGCAGCAAAGCACCTGTAAGTGGCACTCTTGGGAGGAAGTCAGAAGTTTGGGACTGGCCAGTAGGCTTTGGGGAGCTGCATCAGCTTTACAGCAGGCCTAAATTTGATCCCCGGGTCTTAGGCACATGTGCCAGGGGACCCTCATGACAGCCCCATACACTAGTGCACAGGGAGGCACATATTGGTGAGGGCTAATGAGAGAATAATACTGACCCTGAAAAGAGGTGAGGCTGACTTGCCTATTTTCATTCTCTAGCCTGAAACAATACTCAGGAGCCAGCTCAGAAGGTAAGGGATGAGAAGGAAAGAGAAGCAAAAGTCTTTTGAGTTTTAGCATTATAAAGATGTTGATCTTAGTATGGGAAAGGATGCCTAAGCATCATCCCATGGCTTTTAACCTTGCAACCTTTTATAGCTCGGTGCTGCTTTAATGCCGATATGATTAAAAGCAAGACCCAGATGGAGAACTGGAGATGGAAGAAAGCCTCCCGCACTGAAAACAATAAATGATTCCTGGAGCATTATAGATGAGGACTGAGATGTAATCCCAAGGGGTGAGGGACAGCACAGAGCTCAGAAGAAGGGGCAGTCTTGATGCACCCAGGGGCTGTGAAGACACTCAGCAACTGGCTGGACTGAGCCCATGATAATGCAAGTTGTAGAGGGAAGAAGGGGCGGGGGGGAAGGGAAACGTGTAGCCCTTTTTCCTGGGAAGTTGCAGGGAAACTGGGGGCAGGAGGGGCAGCTGTGCTGGGGTCGGGGTCCCCCCGGCCCCGCTTGCTGCGCTCTCCAGCAGCCGCAGGGCGAGGCGCATGCGTCCGGGGGCAGGTTCCTGGGTCTCTCCGCCCCGGAGCCGGCGTGACCTTGGGCTGCTGTTCCCGGTGCTAGACGCGGCCCCGCACAGGGACCAGCCTTCGCCTGCCCTGCCCTGCCCTGGGGGATCCCCCCACCCCGGAGCAAAGGGGCATTGCAAGGGGCGGCTGCACTCACCTGCCAGCCGCAGCATCCTCGTCTCTCCCCGCAAAGCCCCGCACAAGGACAGGGGCGGAGAGACGTGTCCTCCCTCCCCAGCCCGCAGCGGAAAGCCCTCCCTCTGCTCGCGCAGCCCCGCCGCAGCTCTCAGCCCGGGGGTCCCTGCCTCCCCGGCCCCACCCTCACCTCCTGAGCTGGGGGTTGCAACAGGAATTAGGGATTGCAATAGGAATTGCTCGGCTCTGGACAAACCCCGCGCAAAATAGACCCAAGCAAACAGCGGGCCTCCATCAAGTCCCCCCCACCCTCCCTGTGCCTCAGTTTCCCCACCCAGCAACAACAGTTCCCAGCGGGCCCAGGGGGGTGGGTGCGGTGTCCTGAGACACCCCCCAGCCCTGGGCACACGGTGTCCTGCAAAGCTGGCTGAAACGTCCTGGTCCATTCTTGTGGTGGGGAGAAGGTTTGTCAAAAAAGGCCTTTTACACAAAAAACCAGGGGTGTTGGTTGTAGCCCTGTTGGTCTAAGCACATAGGCAGACACGGTTCTTTGGGTGAATGTGATCTCTTTTATTAAACCAGCTAAATAGTTGGGGAAATTGGTCTAAAGACATAGACAAGTTTCTTTGGGTAAATGTGATACCTTTTATTAGGCCAATTAAATAGCTGGGAAAATTGGTCTAAGGCCATAGACAAGGTTATTTGGGTGAATGTGATCTCTTTTATTTGACCAACTCAGTAGTTGGGAACATTCTTCTTTGCAAACTTTCGGGCTCAAACACCCTTCTCCACATGCTCCCTCTTGTATAAAATCAGTCATTTGGGGGCGGAGGTTTGTTGTTCAGTTTCTGATTTGGAGTAAAAATGAGTGAAAAGGGCAATGTGTGTGATCGCTTTTGGCCATCGTTTCCGTTTATTTCCCCTTCCCTTCTCTCTCTTTTTTTAAACTCCCAAGGGCAAAATAGGAGTGAGGAAAAGGGAAACTGAGGGACGTGCGAAGGGGACAAAGCAGAAAGCCGCAGTGGGGGCCGGCGGGGCTGGACGAGACAGACGTTACCCACAGGAAAATAAGAAACGGCCCGTGGGAATTGCAAAGCCCTGGAAAGCCTTGGAGGGGGGTTCGCCTGGCTTTCCCAGCACTGCCTGCGGGCTAGGAGGTGGCATGGCAGGGGCTGCAGCGGGCCCTAGCAGGCAATATTGCCCGGGGTGGACAGGTCATGGGGTGGGGTTGGCCCGCACCCACGTCCCATGCATGAGCACTGTGTAGTGGGGGGCACTGGTCAGTATCACAAGGGATGGTCCATTGTCTGGGGGGGAGCACTGATCAGCATCACAAGGGATGGTCCATTCCCTGGAGGGAGCACTGGTCAGTATCACAGGGGATGGTCCATGCCCTGTGTACAGGGGCAGCACTGGTATCAAGGGAATATTCCATTTCCGGGGGGGAGGGGAGGAGGAGGGCAGGGATTAATATCACAGCTCCACGCATTGTGTGCGCAGAGACTGTTCCATTCCCCGTGTGGGGGGCGCTGGGCAACATCACAGGGGAAGTTCCATTCCCTGTGTATAGGGGGCAGTATCAAGGGAATGTTCCATTCCTTGTGAGGGGGGGGCCATTGGTCAATATCACGGGCTGCCCAACGTCCTGTGTACACAGGGACTGCTCCCTTCCCTGTGCAGCGGGAAGGCTAGCTCCATTCCCCCGCCCCTCCATTCACACGCAGGGACACAGTTCCCTCTTCCCCTTCTCTGCCCGCGCTTCCCGGCTGTTGGTCGCTCCCATCAACAGCCCCCCCCGGGAGCCCTGTGGTCCAATGGGAGCGCGGCGCGGTTGAGTGGCGGGCGCCGGAGCCAATAGGCGGCGC